CCGCGCTTAAACGGATTGATAATTTTTAACCCACCACCCACCCACATTTAGTCTCGGGTTGGGTCAGGCGGATGGTGGATGATGCGGGTGGGTTTGTGGGTTCACCCACATCACAATGTATATAATATAAAGGAGTCAACTTGACATGATAATAGGTGAAGAGAATCATCGAGGGAAATAAGAAGTTGAAATAGGGCGAAAAATGTCGAATTAGTTCTTAAATTAGATAGAAATTCTATTATGAAAGAGTTTTCTACGGATTGAGACGATTATTAGGTGCAAGGAACTAAGGAAAATAATTCCACAAAGGAAAGAGCGGTGATCTAGGCACAAGAATTAGAGGAAAAAGTAAAGGAAAGAAGAGGGGATCTCTATTTGGAAGGTTGGCTTTGAGGTTCAAAATCCAGGAGCAGTACGAGTTTATATCTAACGTCTCCACTCTCCTCTCTCTAGCGGCAACGACTTTAATCTTTTTGCTGTTGGGTTGAGCGGGTCACCCGCACACTCACCCACAACCCACCCACCACCCGGCGGATGGCTCCCAGCGCAACCCGTAACCCACCCACAGACCCACCCACTTAACGAAATTCGGGTCAAATGCGGGTGGGTCGGCCCAAACCCGCGGATGATCCGCCCGCATGCCCAGCCCTAGAATTGACCGCCACATCAGCAAAAGTTAACGGAGACTAACGGTCAGTGACCAAACTTGGGTTGTTAACCTAATTTAAGTAACTGCGGATGGAATAAAGTAATTCTAGTGGCTAACGTGAACTTTACTAGTAATTCAAGTGACCAAACTTACAATTTAGCCATTTTATAAATATAAAATAGTGGACTGAAGTGATATTTGGACAAGATCAAAATAGATTGTATTCAATATTGATCTGGTTTTTGGTCCTAACACTATCTTCATTCTTCAATAAGCATCCCAATCGTCGTTGAATAAATTGTTTATGATTAAACTTTTTTCATGGCGCTATTGTTTCAATTTGTATGGCTAGAAGTTGATTCTGGTGCAACTTTTGCATGATGAAGCAACTTCTCTTGATCTTCCCAAGAAGTATTTAAAAAAAATGGTTACGGGTTTAACTGAAAAACTATCAGAATTACTTTCAAATATAAGAGGTAAAGTAAAATGATTAAAAAAGATTTCTAACATAAAATAAGAATACAAATTCTAAAAAAGAACAATTTTGTATTTTCAAATCAGAGCTTCTCCTTTTAAGTTACAAATTTTTATAGCTTTTTAAAAAGTGAAACTTTAGAGGTGTTTGGCTTCACTTCAACTTTTGAAACATAAAACTTCTAAAAATTCGGGCCTAACATAGTCGCACTCTTTAGGCTTTTCATTTTTTTGGGTTTGAGGTAATCGTGGTTCTCATTTATGAAATTTTTGGACTAATTGCAAGTTTGAGGAGGTTCAACTCGCATTGATTGGGTCAAATTAGGTTGGATACGCATGGATTTGGGTTCAATTGTCTTTCTCAAACAAAAGAAAAAAGCGAAATGAAAAACGATAAAGTTAAAACTCGCTACCGATTCAAAACTCGTAAACACCCGGTTCAACTCGCTTTGACCTAGTTGAACCGAGTTTTGGGTTGTATACCTGCCAAACCCGCCAATTACAAAAACAGATAAAATTCGCTCCCGCCAAAAACCTGTAAAACCGGGTTCAAGTCGCTTTGGTATGGTCGAATTTGGACTCAATTATCATTCTCGACAAAAAAAAAGATAAAAAAATACTAAAGCGGATAAAACTCATTCTCGATACGAAACGCGTCAAAAATTGGTCCGAGTTCAATTGTCATTTTCAACGAAAAGGAAAATGAGAAATAAAAAAAACATCAAAGCATACAAAACTCGCTTTCGATGTAAAACTTTTCAACAACGTGTTCAACTGGTGTACCCTATAACATTAAAGGATTGTAAAAAACTCGCATACGAAAAGGAAAATGAGAAATAAAAAAAAACATTAATGGATTGTACCCTATAACAATCCTCCCCTCAAGACAAGGACTACGAACTTTGTGTTCTCACCTCAACAATTATCTTGATCCGCCAAACACCTTGTATCGATGGGCTTCTCGTTACAAGGATTTTTCCCAGATGCAGAATAGGTGTACACTAATATACAAGGGTTCCTTCCCTTGTATTTACGATATGATACTTGGATTGTCCAATAAAAATCCTCCCCTCAAGACAAGGACCACGAATGTCGTGTCATCTGCTCAGCAATTAGCTTGATCTGCCAGACGCTTTGAATCGAGGGGCTTCTCGCTAAACGGTTTTCCAAACGCGGAACTCTCTTTGATCCGCCAAACAAACGTGGATCTATCCTAGATCCGCCAGACAGACGCGAACCTCCCTTGATCCGTTAAACAAGATGTAGCCTAAACGTGGATCTCTCGTGGATCCACCAAACCAGACGCAGATCTCAAATCTTGAGGTCACCGAATGAGGGTCCCAGCAAACTGACGTCCATCGCTATGATACCACTTGTTGAAATCGGGGAGCTCAATTAGTACGATGTTGTCCGCTTTGGGCCAAGCCCACACGAATTTACTTTTGGGAATCCTCCCCAAAAGGCCTCGTACTAATGAGCTTGGTGGACACTAATATACAATGATTCCTTCCCTTTATACAATCGATATGGTACTTGGATTGTCCCATAACAAACCTAAAGCTAAGTCATAAATATCACTACATTGAAAGAGATACTTGTGAAGCTCAAGTACTCTAAGGTTAATGAAGTGGAGAGACTTCAACACCATTGTCATGTGTTAAGATTATTGCAAGACAATAAAATCAAGTCAAACACACATGATATATAGTGAATAGAAAGAGACGAGTCTTTGGTGTATTGTACCCAAAGAAAACTCACTGGATGAACCAAGGCAATTTATTCATGGATATGCATTTATGGTTGATGAGGAGCATTATCTTGGAAAAACGTCCAAGATAAATTATACACTCACTCTAAGACTGGTGAAGTTCAATAATCTAGCCCGCAAAATCTGGCATCGATAAACGCACTTTGTGAAGGTACAAAGTTGTGATTGCAAGTGTGCTAGAAGTGTTATGTAATGAATCTGGTCATATATAAGGAAACATAACACTATGGATTGATTAATTTCTATCGAAGTTATCTAGATTGATCATCTTAGATCAAATGATAACAAATGTGGGGCCCACCTAGAAATTAATTAAAACATAAAAGAGAATGGACTTGTGGCCTAGGACAAATCATCATGGTGATAACTCTACCTAAGTTGGATTGGCAGACCCAACCTCTAGGTTCAAGGAGTAAACAAAGTTGTGAATGATGGCCCGACATTGTCGAATTATTTAATGTCTATTCTCATGATGAGACAATGTCCAATATAAGGGTAAACCTAAATATGAAAGGTTTTTAATGGTTTCTAAGTTTGACATGTGGTGTGATCAAATAGTTTATTTTCGGAATACACGTTTAGAAATCACCTATGTGAGTGTGAAGTGGAGCCGCTTCAAGGAGAATAAAATAATGCTAGTTCTCTAAGCACTCATGAGACCAGACGGTGTTCATGGCTAAAACGAACACACAATGAGAACCAGTGAACGAATAAGCGTTAGTCCTGTGGCATATGTTGTTTACTTGTCTTAGTATACAAGAAAAATCGACGGTTCAAAGATATCACATCTACCGATTCGTGAGTATACTCGATATATGTTTACTAAGGAAGGTTCAAAGGGAAACCTACCTATCCCGATGCAACTAATTCTTAGTCGAGAATCACATAATTTTTTGCATAGTTTTTAAAGTACAACATTCTCCATTCATGTGAGAGATTGTTGGGATTTTGATGGTGTGAATGGAAATGAAAGGGGAAAGATCCAAGAGAATCTCTTGAACTACCATGTTGGTTAGATGTGGGAAGGCATGACATCAAATTCGATCGATTTGATGTAATCTGTGGTTAATCGGTTAAATTGGTTTGTGTAACCAAATGGACCAAACCAAATCGAGTTGAACCAAATCAAACCAAACCGATATGGCGGTTGGAGTACTGAACCAATCGGTCCAACTATCATGGGTCGAGCCGATGAAATGGTACATTAGTCTAAAACGAAGCATTGCAATGGTTAGGGTGTAACCACCCATACGAAGAGTTGCCTCACTTTGTAAGCACCCTTCATTCTCTATAAATAGCAACTAACTCTGATTTTTACATATATTTTTTTCCCATACCAAAATATTGCCAAAATCTAAAGTGATTTTTCTGCATTGTTTTTCAAAAGAAAAATCGAGTCAAGTGTGGTTCTTCCCGGTTCGCTGCGTTCGATAGTTTCCGAGGTTTGAGATACCGCTATATTAGAAAATGTACGTCCTTTCTATCTTGTGAGGAATCATTCCGTAACTTTGGGTACTAGAGGGGAATAAGATTCTTTAAAGAGAGACATTGAATTATGCCGGTTAGTACGTTTGTATGTGTCTTTTTATGTTTTTGTGATCTTACATATGACTTGTTTTGCAAGAAATAGTATAGGTGAATAATTTAGTTAACATTTCGATTGTTAAGCATCTTTCACGACCTCGATCGTGATGGGTGGCGCTGAGCTTGGTAAAGTGGATTGGTGTTAGAGTGGATATCCTTGCTCTAGCTACAATCCTCACATCAAAGTGGAATTCATTCCTGTAAAGCATAATGTTAAAGCTGAATGGGTCGCCAGATGATGTGCTAGGAATCCAGTCCCTCTCACTACTATTGGATCACTGTCCTCGATCTATTTTCTAGCTTCATTGTGTAACCCCACTTTGTAATCAATCACTTTTAGTGTGAAAATGCATATTAAGCGCTCCAGAAGATCCTTGGAGCCTGATTCACCATAGAAAATTGTCCATCTTTTGCTCATTATTCATAGTCATTTGGATTTGCTCATCAACGAATTAATTAAACAACACCATCTTCCTAACTAAGTAAAAAATAAAATAAAATTGCAGAATGGAGAAGACAGAGCCATCAACAACTGATGGGAGGCAGATCGGAACGGAGACCTCCGGCCCTCCGATGACGATAATCCCCGCCATCCAAACCCACACCGTCGTCGTCCTTCTTGAAAACCCTACTCCCGAACACCAAGAACCCCACGGCATGCCCCGCCACTGCGGCCAGAAACACCCCGCCGTTGAACGACATCACCGCCAGCATCACCATGTACGCCAGCCCGGCCCTCACGCCGTGCATCGCCGTCTGGATCAACCCGGCCCCGACCCGACCCGCGTCCTTCCGGATCAGCCGACACCCGGATAGCCACTCCACGAGGAACGCCAGCAGGAAGACGAATACGAGGGCCAGAACGTACATCTCGGTTCGGGCGCCGGGCCAACCCGAGAAGAGGATCAGCGCGTCTTTCCCCCAGTAGAACGTCATGTGCATCATCATCTTGTTCCGCCGTGTGGGCGAGGGACCCGCCATGGGCATCATGTGATCGCTGTGGTTCATCTTTTTCCTGATCTCCGGCAGGCTCGGATTAAGATTAGGGCGGCGATTTCAATTGAGGGTAATTGGTGGGCATACATTGTTGTACAACTTGTACTGGTGTACATAGCGTACACGGAGAGTGGGACGTCGTACTGCTTTGTACTGTGTAGGGTTGAAATGAAGTAGGAGATTAATTAGGTTGGCATGTATAGGTTATTTGGTTTGTACTTTGTACTTCCTGGGAAAGAGTGGTTTGGCTGTAATCTAATTGTATTTCCGGATCTAGAAGATAGTTTCGTGGCCATTATGTGGACCAAATCTTCCCCAAATATGGGAACTAATTAGTCGGGTGATTCACTTTGAAGTTGAATATGCCCTGGCGGACCCAATCATTCTTTGATAAGAAAATTATTACAAGTTACAATAAAGTCCATAACATTGTAAAATATATTGATTGTGTATAGTACTCAACTCATCTCTTTTAATATATCCTATTAGACAATCATTTATGAATTGATTGCCTATTTGATTTGTCATCACCTCTCTTCGGTCGAGATCAGCTATTGCTGAATTCTCTAAAGAGTAAGGAGGACTGGATTCTCAGAGGAAGGAGGCCTGATATAAGTCGAGGCTCCAACTCCTAGACTTAAACAATCAGAATCGAAGCAGAGAACGATTAGAAGCACAACGATCACAAAACGGATAATAACCCAAACCAAATCCACAAGTCGGGAAGTGGGCCAGGTATACGAATGACTATTCAGCTAGGGTGATGTGCTAGCAGAAAACGTCGGTTTCCTCTTGCTGATTCGATTCCACGATCAAGAAAGAAGAAGAAGAGAAGTTGGTGTTTGAACAACCAATTCTAGGGTTTGTATTTCTGAATAAAATTGTTGATTACCCTCTAAAAGACTTAGTTCAACCCCTTATATAAGCTACAAAGTTTTTGGGCCAAAAATAAAAAGGAAACTCGAGTTTTGGAGTAAAAGTCACATAATCTGCAATGGAAACTGAAAATAGGTCGTCTGCTGTCAAATGCAAAAATACCCTATCGTTGGTCAAAAATAGCTGACAGGGGGGGTCTTCTGGTCAGAGCAAAATACCCTATCAAAATACCCGACCGGGTATTTGGCCTTCTTGATCGGGTATTTGGCCGGAAATAGCCCCAACACCAATGATCATCACTTATCATCCCATGAACAAGTCAGCCTCCATCTTGGTGAAGTTCTGGGCCAAATAAGCTTGAAGTCGACTCCTGAATGCCTTGGCTTGACTTCTTGTGATAGGACCACACTCCTCTCGCACCAGAGTTGGACTTGAAACCGCCTTGGTGTCGATGTCCTCATCAGATCGAAAGCTCAAAGTTGTTGATTTATATCTTAGAGTATAGTTCGGATAACTGCAAAAACATGACTACATGTCGAAGTACCAGTCCTATAACTGCAAAAAAAAAAAAAAAACGATTATAACTGCAAAGACAAAGACTACAACTCTATTTGTACTACTATATCTCATAATTAGTATGGTGCTAACCAATCTTGTAGAATTATGCTAAGCTTTTCGATCCAAATTGTATCATATATCATTTCATGTCCTCTTTCTGTTGCATTTTTCAATCCCCCACCCCCAAATAACACATTAACTTGTCGGTATATAAACATGTTGTTTGAAGGGCACTCACAACCTTTATTCAACCCCAATCTGGTTAAAAATACAACAATAACTAAAAAAAAACATTTGCTCTCCGAAAGATAATGTGTGTCCTACCAAAGCTAAGGCATCTTTGTAGATATGCTCTATTCGAACCTGTCAAGGACGAAGTCATAAGCCGTCGTACAACAAAAATAGTGTGGGTGCTTAGCGTAGCATCCTCGATAAGATGTTTGGTTATCTGAAAAAACTTCTTAATTCACAATCACTACTAGAAAGCAGCTCTTTAGCAACGGTTTTTTACCATTTGGACCGTCGCAAAAAAACTTTAACGACGGACAGACGACTCTCGTTGACCCCGCAGTCCTTAAATTATTTTGCGATGCTTTTGGACGACCGTCGGCTCAACCGTTGCTATAATTTAACGACGGGCGTGACTGTCGCTAATTTAAAATGACTGTCACTATATGTAAGTCGAAAGTATGTTTGAGGGATTAGGAACGTTTAAAACCGTCGCTAAATTAAATGTAGACGTCACTGAAATGCTTGCTTTTCCATGTAGTACATGTGACCTAGTCCAATCAACTAGAACTAAACCAGTAGTAATTTTCTCAAATATTAACAAACAAAAAAATCACACAAATCTAGTTTTGTAAAGACTTCTTATTAATAAAATTATCAATCCTCAACCAAAAAATCCATTAAAAATTCTAAAGTTTAACATTCTCATACATATGACAACTAATGTTCCTTGTGAAAGTTCAAAACCTCTTGCCGTTCTTCTTGCAAAACCACGGAAAACAGAATGCAAATAATAAGAAATAAAGGTTGTCTACAAAACACTTTCAAAAGCTAGGATTATTAAGTTGACAAGGTCTTATGATATCAAAACAACAATTAAACAAACAACTGATCAACTAAAACTGCAGGTAAAGATAACTTTTCTTAAGAGGTAGAGAAACAATTTTGAAAGTAGTACAAGAGAGTCCTCAGAAGAAGGAACCATAAATCCATAATGACACTATGCAAGCTTGTTAGAGACACAATGGGGAAAACACAACATTTAGGAACTATAGAGCTTCAACTTTGGCATAGGCTTAAATCAATGGTAGGTCTGTCTAGATTACACTACTATGAGACTGAGCAACTTGCATTTTGACCCACAACCAAGATTAGCATTCTCAAAATAAGCAGGCTTGGCGACTAACATAATGGGTGCGTGGAATGCCAAAATTTGAAGAAGAATTCCTCTCCTTTGTCCTTAACAAACCAACTTCCTAAAGTTACAAGATAAATCCTCGGCTCATATATAAAAATTATATGAATGACAAAAATGACCCCTTTTGATAATTCTTGATAGTTTGACATTTAAGGTAACAAAATAGAAACTAACCTCCGTGTCTGAAAATCTCTGTGGTATAATGATGGAAGCGGGGAGATAGTAGCTGTATAATGATGGTCTTTGGGATCTGTACTCTGAAGCAGTTGCACGACGCAATGCGAATTAAGCTGAACGCAAGCATCCCAAACCAACTGAAGACCTTCAACAGCTTCCCTCAACTCAGCCTACAGTACATATGCCCAGGTTAGTAGTGAATGCTGCAAGGCAGCGTCCAGAATGATCTCTAATCAGGCCACCTGCGGCAGCAGAGCCTGAATTATGGACGGAGCCGTCAGAGTTGTGTCAAACCCATTCAAGAGGAGGCGGCTTCCAGGAGATCAGCTCCTCCATCCTAGCGGGCGGAATCGTATGGTGGAGTAACTTATCCTTGTCATTGTCCATAGCCATCCTCGCGACATTTATCCAGGCTAGGACACGTTATAAGAAGGTCTGAGTTCACACGATCTTGCTTGTGAAGACTCGATCGTTTCTAGCCCGCCAAAGGGACCAGCAAATGAGCCGAAATCAAGCTCCATGTGTTGGCGCCGAAGGTTCCTCATTATCCAATTCTGAAGGTTAGCTCCAAAAAATAGTTGGAATTCAAAAGCAGGGATTACTTGCATCCATATAGCCCGGGAAAAAGGACAGTCTCGCAACACATGTAGGACTGTTTCAGTCTGGTCCGTGCAGAGGGAACACCAGGTGGTGTGGGTCAAGTGTATGCGACCATGCTCCGCATTAGTTAATAGCCTGTCACGAACTACGAGCCATAGGAAATGCTTTACGCGTGCTGGACCGGACCATCGCCAAATGTCTCATACTCGATCGGTTGGGGAAGCTCCTCGTAGTTAGTTTCCAGATCGTACGCCGATCTCACCCTGAATCGATCATCCCTTTCAGGTCCCCAGGTAGGCACATCCTCGCCGGAGTTTGCTATAGGAGGTTGGATGCCAACAATTTGCGATACAACATCACTCGATAAGTAGCATTGCAAACACAGAATGTCTAACTCACCTTGGTTGTTGACGAATGCTGCTACAGGTTACTGGGGGTGAGGCGGGGTAGCGGAGTCGAGGGCTCTATCCAGCAGGACCTCGCCATTACCCACCCAACTATCCCTCCAGAATTTCGTGCTCTCCCCATCCTTAATAGCCATTACCATGTCAGTGGTCATAATCGGCCAGGCCTTTCTCATTCCTCTCCAAAGTGGCGATGCTCGGCCCACGGTTTTAACCACCACCGCTCCATTAACACACCAGAAATACTTGGCCTGTAAAACCTGCACCCAAAGCTCATCTGATTTTTTAGCAAAACCCACGCCAGCTTAGAGAGGTAAACAAGATTCAGCTCATGTGCCTTGCGTAATCCAAAGGCCCCATCGTGTTTCCGTCGGCAAACTGCCTCCCAATAGACCAGATCAATTTTCCTTTTCTCGGAGGAAGAACCCCAAATACAATTCTGCACCGTCCTGTCAATTTGGTTACAAATAGAAATAGGCAGGAACGTGGTTTGCATGGCATAAACATGTAGGGAGCTAAGCACTGAATGGGATAGAGTTACCCGTGCGGAGAACGATAAGGATTTCGCCTTCCAACCCGCCAATTTATTCTTGATTATTTCAATGATGTACCTATACGTGACCTTGGTAACCTTTCCATGAAGCACAGGAACCCCAAGGTATCAGCCCAGGTCTTGAGTGGCAGTCATCCCCAACGAACTAGCAATGGTCGATGCCAGCGATCGACACGTGTTGTTCGAGAAGAAAACCACTGATTTCTCCTTGCTCACCAGTTGGCCAGAGGCTTGACAGAACCGGTCTATGCAATCAAGAAACACCTTGCCCGGTGCTACACTTGCCTCTGCAAAAAGGATTAAGTCATCAGCAAAAAACAAGTGTGATAGAAGAGGGCCACCTGGGTTGATGCGGACACGTTTCCACCAGCCACCAGCCACCGCTTCCTAGACTGTGTGGCTGAGACGATCCATGCAA